CTGCTCGTTTACCGGCTTATGCCATAAAAAAATCATAATTGATACTTGGTTTGTAAGACAGGACAAAGCAAACCATCCTGAGAGAAAATGCTCATAAGTTTATAATTGGTCACTCTTCTTTAGATTAACTTCAGACAGCCAACTTTATTAGACGTAGTGGTGATTTTACGTATTTGCTGACCAAAATATTACCACACAATTTATGTATTCGTAGTAAAAGAGAATTAGCGCGAGATTTCTAAAGAAAACGTTCGATGTGCAGTAGCTTTTACAACGGTATTCCTAAACAATAACTAGAATCAGCAAACCACGTAAAGTTGTAATGATAATAATGAATATTTTAAAACGATGAAACGGCATTTGACTTGTTATCGGTAAAGTTGCGGTTTGCATTGTAGCGAGAAGCGGGATAAGAAACTACACTATCAGGGTCTAAAGAAAAATTCTAAAGCAAAGGATAAACTTGCGTCTAAATAAAAAAATCAAATTTTCGCAAACACTGCTAAGTGGTTTTGCTGACACAGGTTTATAGTGTTTAAATTAATTATACATTTATTATGCACAGAATTTATTGAGGGTTTAATTAGTTCATTACTTCAAATATTTTTGAGACTATTTTCAAAGCATAAGAACTGGAACCTGGGGGACTACTGTTTATAATATTATGAACAAAAATAATTATACCTAAAGTTCATAACTGGAACTTAATATCCATAGCCATTAACACTAATTGTTCAATATATCATTGTGCAACGCACTGCATACTACCGAACAGCCTTGTTAGTGCAAAATGAATTGTATAATTAATTATAGAATATCAAATAAATCACGTATGTGAATCTACTATGGGAATCATTATGCCTTCTACCTGTACTTATTATAATCTAGTATTTTGATTTTGTACTATCACATCAATCCATTAGAATCTTTCGTTTGTGGTTTATTATGCGTTTATCCTCTTCAAATATGACATTTATATATTTTTACTATGCCCTACATGGTTGAACAAACACGATGTTACCTATTCTTCTGCAACACCATTAGCTGACACACATCTATGGCTAAAAATACCACTATTTAGAGAAGATTATAGCTAATTTTCTCTTCTAATTCTAATGTTTGATAAGCAAATTTAGGACCTTAGTTAGGTTACCCAAAATTTGGAAGGTATGCTATTGCCTAGCGCGCGGTAACTGATCCTCCGTTCTAACACCGATTTCGAAACAACTAATTAAAACAAAACAAACCTTTATGGATACTGTAAACATATTTGTTACTAGTAATGTGTCAAATAGCTAAGTACTTGGTAAAATAAATTTATTACCTTTTTGTCATTAGAGAAACATGTACAAGAATAATTTTAAGATTAAATTTACTGGCTGGCGTGGTTGTAAAGTTATATTTATTTGTGTTTAAGTTCCAACTTCGGATTTTAGTTACTGAAATACAAGTGAATGCTCAGAAATAGTGGCAATAAATGAAAATGAGGGCCAGCATTAAAATGAGGATTGTACATTTTTTACAAAACATTGTAATCGAATGATCACTAGAATAGCTTTAAGTTACGGAAGAGGAACATTTAAAATACTTTACAATATATAAACTAAATATATTGTCTTTATCTCCGCTAACAAAGCGACCTTGCCCAACGCGATTGTGGTTCCCACTGCACGTGGTTTGCGGTACTATCGGAACGCTATCATTAGGGCACAAACCACTGCCAATTACGAACGGAAACCTTGCACATTTCTATATAAACACTATTGTGCTTCAGTTAGGGGACAGTGCGATGCATTATAACCTGTATGTTCTCATTACGCATTACGGTGTATAATGCGTTACATCAAAATGTACCGGTATCAGACTTTAAAGTTATTTTAAAGAGATAATTGCTCGTTACTTTTTTATTACGTTTGACCGCGTGGTTGTGAAAAGATACATGAACGGTGCCGATCACTTACCATCAAGTGATATGTTTGATCATCTGCGCATTGTCCAATAAAAAAAATGGCTGATGACTGAACAAGGTTAAAAAGTAATATCCTAGATCCTAGGTGGGGAAAAATAGTACAGGGTTTCATTCAGTTCCAAAATTATCACCTATAAGGTGGATAAATGTCTTTACCCAGAAGCATATATAACGTTACGGTTCAAAATTAGGTTTTACATCAAATGGGCGTCGCTCGTTTATCTCGATGACATGTATTATCCATTGCAAATATTTATCGATGGTTCCCTGTATTGTTATGTTATGTTATGTTACAATAGAAGTAGCGTCCGATTTATCCTTCCTCATTTCATTACTGTGTAGTGTATGTTATATATGCTACTCATTAATACAATTAATAATGTTATCAACTACACATAAAACAGTTTAATATTCCTTGTAACTGTAACATCAGTCTTAATATACGAATCATTAAAATATTTACACAACAACAATTATTATGGACGTAAATTGTCCTATCTGTCGGCTTGTGTATAAAAACATGAATTAAATTACATAATATACGTTTGTAACAACGATATCTTTATCATTAACTGCTATTTACAGACCTTATAATCCGCTAACACAAGTAGCGTTCACTGATTTATTGTTTCTCAAACAAATAACTTTATTTGCATTAATACCGATAGCAGCCGATACTCAGACAGATAAAGTAGTATTTGCATTAATTCTTGTAATCGTGGACTTGTATATAAGTATAGGTAAAGGGCGTATGCGCCGCGGGCTGGAATGCAATTGGTTAATGTTTATCGATTAGATGCGCCGGCGGCGGTGCGCCATACGTTTCCCATAGCTTTTGTTTACTGTTGTACTATCCGATTTCCTTGTATTATTTAAACGGATTTGTTTAAATCATTTTAATATCAATTTACCTACCTTAAATATTTTTTGTGCTACCACTTTTCAATGTTTGAATATTCGGTAACATCATGTATGAAATTCCGAGTGAAAGTCGTATCGTTCTAGTGACAAACACGCTACTACATCCAGGCACGTTTACAGGTATTTCTGTAATGTAGAAAATAAAATAATTACTTTTCTCATAAAAATATTACTAACAGTGAAAAAATGCAATAAAGTAAACACGGGCGCGTAGCCAAGTATCGTGTCGCTATTTCGACGTGGCCCGACGTCCGGCGACCGGCGACCAAACGCCTGCGAGCGAACTTTGTTTCCTATCACGTGGCGAAACTGTAACGATATCATGACACCAAAATATTTTACGAACAATCCCGTCTTAATACTGGGAATTCATTATCTACTCTGGAATTTGCTACTATTATGATGAGATCTAAAATTTCAGTCAGATCATACATTTCCAAGAAACAGTAAGGTCGCCGCCTACCGAGAAATGTGCAGGCGTTATGATCATATGACTATCAAGCGGTTACGCGATTTTGAATAAAAAGAACTTAAATCTTCCTGACTAGAAAATCTGTTTTAGAAACTGGTATAAACTTTATATTATGTTGCAGTTAATTTACACAACAATAACACACGTGTTCTCGCTCCTGATGCAATATTTTACGTGGTCCTTGCGACACAATAATAGGAAATGTAACATAATGGTTGACAAGCAAGGGAAGTGTTCTCAACCGAGCAGTTTGTGGCCAACCACTAAATAGCATCGGACCTGCCCTCCACTTTGAAATTATGATCACTACAAGATTACGGCTAGGGTTTTATGTTGCTTAGAAACCACGCTCATATAAACGGGATAGAAGGAAATTTTGCCCGCAGCTTACGTGTGTACATCAAAGAAGCTTTCAAAACCTGTGGTTAAATGATATTTTCCATCATTCGAATGGTGCGGTTTGAAATGTTTTCGTTTTGATTTATTTATGAAATTTTAAAAGCAACGCGTTGAAATCATTGGAGTGCCTTACCTACATAAGATTCTATTCTAAGTATTTTAGTGCTGCACCGCGTACTATCAGGGTACAATATTTATTTTATTTGTACTTTAGATAACATTATTAGTTCAATACTTGTCTAGGTCGGTGCGGTTGGCTGGTTTTAAAAGATTTATTTATACGATAAAGATATGTATCGGTATGCGAAACTTCGGTCCGTCTGTTCTTTGAGTGATTTACAATTTGTCGCCTGTCGTCGTAGCAGGCGCTGGACCGTGACGGCTAACGAATGCTGTCCCAGCTCGTTTGGGGTGCCTATTTCCGCATCTCATATTTCCACTTTGAAATATATCGCTGCAATGAAATATATCTAATGAACCTATTGTCACAATAAAGGACACTAGCGTCTAGATTTACGACGTCCAACATGGCCGGACTGTCTTTGCTAAATGAATGTTAGTTTGCTAGTCAACGTCACCTGACTTTTCAGCGGAATATAATAACAACATCGAGCAATTTGCACGCTGTCATGCAAAACAATTTAGCGTAAGACGTGTGACGAGTTTCTAACCTCGAATTTTATTTACTACGCCTATTTATTGTGTATTTTGAACTATCTTTTGGCTGCTTGAAATATCCTTTTAGAAAAAAAATAGTTAGTGTGAACTTCGGCTGTTGGCGGCGTGCCAACTGGTCCATTTCTCAGCTATGCTCGTGGACGGCAGAATGATACTGGTTCACAGTTCATATACGTTGAGCTAACCGATGCTTTGAAGCTTTCGTATTGAGGTTAAACGTATGTACAGCTTGTATGTATATTCGGGAAATATGGTTTATGTGTAACGAAGCGAGTAATTAATCCAACAGCTAATGGCATTAAATGAAGTCACATTTGAATTAGGTCTTAGCATGTGGCGGCCGCATCGTTAAGACATTTCGTAATCTTAAACTTTGAATGAATTACCAAACAGCTGATGAATGAAATTCAAAACTAAATAAAAAGCTTTTTAAAATACGAAAGCAATTAGTTTTTGGAAATAGAAATTCGTGTTTACTAGTTGAAGATTTTAAATTCATGATGTGTTGATATGTGATATTTATTATCTTGATTAATAATGTTATGTCTTTCTTTTTTCCAGTTCAACTTCGTTGGAAGGATTCTAGGGCCCAGGGGTATGACAGCTAAGCAGCTAGAACAAGAGACAGGATGCAAAATTATGGTCAGAGGAAAAGGTTCAATGAGGGATAAGAAAAAGGTAATAAGTAAAAAGTATTTAATGTTCACAATCTATGCTATAAAAATATAATCGTAATGACCAACTTTTATATTTTCCACGCAGCTAACAACTGGAAATCGATGCAGGTTATAATCATTTATCGATATTTTTATAGTTACCATTTTTATGATATTTTCAGTACCAAGGTCATTTTCAAACGTACCTATGAATTAGATTTGTTTAGGTCAATATGGTAGTTTCCTAATACAATTTACTTCGTAAGCTACTAAATTCAAGTGGGAAGTGAGTACTTAATCACGAAAAGCAAACGGAGTTTATTTTCTTACTATACTAGATGTGAGTATGCATAATATGATGTACTAAACGTTTTTGCAAGATGTTGGCTCGTTTTTTATATTATTTGCACCAATCACTTTGTTCAAGCAAGTCCAATTTATCTGTCACTTATGTTTTAATTTGCATATTATCAGGTTTTATAAATATAAATAATTTACTACAATCCTTACATAAAGATTAGCCGGCCTTTGTCCATGAAGAGAAAACTCACGACTCATCAATGATTTGCGTTTAAAATTATTATTTACCATCTATTTGCATTGCGCTTGAAAACCCTTCTATTGCTTAATTTGGGTTTAATATACGTATGTATCTGTTGAGTGTTGTTTTGCTCAGCAATCGTGGCATAACTTACCGATTCAATTTCTACGAATAGTAATACCCAAACATTTAGAAACGTATATGGATCTTCCGTTTAGATTTGTATGGGCTTGTTTGAAGTGCTCAAGCCATTAACGTTCAGCAGCGTCCTTGAGACTATACCAATGTATGTGGCTATTTATATTCACAACCATACTTCAACTATCAATAGTAAAATGTAATATTGTAATGTGTACTTGACTGTTTTGTTAGTTCAAAAAATATTGACGCGTACATTGATTTTGTTGGTTTTTAAAATCCTCGTTTCAATACTTAAACACAAATCTAGTCCAACAACCAATCAGGAGATATATAAAACTGTAATAGCTAAAACATGAGGCCATGACTAAAACAAGAAATCCCCAATAACGTAAACATTGGATCTAGCTGTACGTCATTCCATTTTCCCGCTATATTTGATTTCTCATACAACGCCATAATTACCGTGCTAAATTGAGAGCATCATAAACGGTCGAAAATGTTCCAATTTCCAATAGCAGGATGCTAAACTGGGTGATTTTAATGAATTTCAGGAGGACGCAAACAGAGGAAAACCCAATTGGGAGCATTTGGCTGACGACCTCCACGTCTTACTCACAGTTGAGGACACTGAGAACAGGGCGAAGATAAAGTTGGCCAGAGCTGTCGATGAAGTCAAACGCCTGCTTGTACCTGTAAGTATTCAATACAATTTTGTTCTGACATCATGAGTTCTTAATTTTAGACGTATAAAAGATACTGGGTTTTTTTAATTTCCCAGATGTGGACTTTTGCCCTGCAAAATTTCCCATATTAACCAATCTCACTGCAAATTTTGTACGGACGTCGAAATTGCGCTACAGTTCGTTATTTACTCTTATTTTATGATATCAGATAAAGTTTATAAACGTTTTATTATGTGTTTATCGATGAATACTTTTTAATAGTATAATCGGGAAGATCAATTCTCAACTTCTTGATATCCAATTATGAAAAAGCAAAAGTACCTAATTTGTCGATGTCAAACGACACATAAGATTGTGTAGCAAATATTGTGCTAGTCAGAATTAGTAGTGGAGTAGTCATCAATCAGAGTGGCCCAGGTTGCGGTCACATTTGTACTCAGTTGCTCATTGTGGTGACGGATATTAGGTACTTCGACGTGACTTATGAAGGCTTAATGAAGGTTAAAAACTAGTTTTATTGCACAACTATTATTAATGACATTGCATAATGATCCAATATTAATTTTAAAATGGTTTAATTCATTTTAAATCCCTCAACATTCCACATTCACAATCCTACGAACGTATCACGCTACAAAAATAGAAGTAAACTTTAAAATAGCTTCGTGTTCACGTGATGTCGTTGAATTTGGTTTGGGTTCGTAGTATGACTGAAGTAATCTCTGATCTTTCTTTTATGCAGCCCGTAGCATTTTATTGTTCCGTAATAGTAAACTATGACTAACTTAACAGTTACTGTTGGTTAACACGCAAACGTCGAATATTTCGACTGACTGCGAATATTATCTGTTTTAGATAAACTCTAACATACCAGCAAACAGTTATGCCAAATAGAAATTTTGGCACACTCTCCAGTGTTCGGTAGCCTCGAATGTCACAGACAACGGTGTCGTTTTTAGGGTTTTAACGTTAAAGATAGAACCTATGTGTGTAATACTAATACCTGTCTCGTACATGAAACATTTGTTATTTGACTTTTTACCTTAAAAATATATTACTCTTTTATAAACTACGTATAAAAAACCAATTGCAAGTCCCCCTTTTTTATAGTCGGTTAAAAATCAAATTGGGTTTAAAATCCTGTGATGTCATTTTTTACTCCAATACGGTACATTTTGTTAAACTGACCATTTCCCAAACCGTTTTAATATGGAACCCAACATGTCGGAACCTTAATTACCTATCTTCCTCAAAAGATAGAAAAATATTTTCTCGTCCAGTAAATATCAGTAAAATCTATACTGGAAACAATTTCTCATTGTTTTTTACTATCTGTATGAAGATCTCATTCAGTGTTACGTTCATTGCCGTGCATTTAAGGCGCGATGACGTCATTAGCAATTGTGTTGAACCGCAAGGCTCGGACTCATTACTACTAATTAACGGACACTGGTTACCTTCTACCTAGATACCTTAATAATTTTGTTTTGGTTGTGCGTTCTACTTTTACGAAATGGTCATGTTTGCCCAGACCTGCACTTTTCTTAGTGAGATAAAAAACAACTATTCTGCTACCAGATTTAATGTTAGCTGGCTTCTATTAACAAACAAAATTTTGAGGAAAATAGTTGAATGTATATGTCACAAGTATCAAATTCGTTGTCTCTCGAAAGACTGGCTTGGCACATAGGCAATTCAGGTGTCATCAAAGGGTTCTCCAATCTCTGTTGAGTAAATACATATTTCAAGATACCTTGTGGTTCAGTCAGCCCAAATAAACACCTAAAATATATTTTGAAACAAGATAGACAAGTCTGCTAACTAATACTAGTATTCTGAGTCATTTCCTTCATTTCTCTGAATGTCTGGATTTTTCAAATATTGCTGCCAATTTATTTTCTTGGCTACGAAATTACCATCAAAGTCATAAATGATATACGAGTTCGTACATCTAAATATACATTAGCAGCTGAACAAATATAGTGTTTCACCGACACTGACCCTATTTTAGTTAACAATTTTTCATTATTTAATTTTTCATTAACTTGACCTTTCTACTATTTGCCAACCAAATTGTTTTTTGTTTGTAAGAAATTGTTATCATATTATTTTGTTTCATTCATCTTAGTATTTTTGGTCTTAGTGTCATTTAGCTTTCTGGTTAAACTTCTGGTACCTATAAAATGTTCAACACAACAAGCCTCTGTAAATTTTTGTCTAAAAGAAATTGTTATTAGCGATAACAATGACATGCTTAATCTTTTCTTATCTATTAAAATTCTTACTAGACTGGAATGCTTCCTCTTGAAGTTCAATAAAAAATGTGTGAGCATGTCTTTTTATCTCTATACAAAAGGTTTTTTATGACGTTACAATTTTCATCAGATTTTGGGGTGAAATGGTCCTAAACCTTCAAATTATTTTCTTTCCTTTACAGCAAGCTGATGGCGAAGATGAGCTCAAGAAGCGTCAGTTGATGGAGTTGGCGATCATAAACGGCACATACCGCGACTCCAGCACCAAGGCGGTGGTACCCGTCAACGGTCAGTGCCTCATAAGTATGGTCGCATTCATGTTTTGTCACTAAAACTACCCACTAAGACTTACTAACACTCCTATGGAGAAATAAGAAATAGAATCGATTCACTAATATTGTATATTGTAAAATTTTCAATGATTTTATATTCCCTCCATTTCTTCTATTTCTTATCTTTCCATAGCGATAATCTATCTTAATCCACGCAGTCAGTATGCAAAATTGTTCTTGAGTCCTATGTTCTGCACTGGGTCTTTATGGATGAAGATAGACATTTTGCAATGTACAAACGTGAACTGCTGTATGGAAGAGATAGACATTAGCTTCAAAGGTCTGAGTCAGATTTTCATGGGTGCTTGCGTTAAAACGCATTTACGGGTTCTTATACTGTGCCATTTCAAATTCATACTTCAGAAGAGACTTCATCTTTGAGATGCAGGATAATAATGACATTGTAAAGTAATTGTGATTGTTTCCTGGATTAAACACAATGTTGTGGGACACATCATTTTGCATGAAAAATTACATAATAATCGTGGGATTATTTTTTTTCATTGAATTGTTTTCTGACAACTGTACATATTCTGCTCTGTTTTCATTACATTTCCTATTGTTGAAGTGAGCATAAACTGTGTCTTTTGTTTGCGGATGTGAGTCATCGAGGCGACTGCTAAGATGACTAACTTAATTGATTTGTGGCATGTTACGGTTGTTAACTATTAACATGGGTGATTTCACAGCACCAAGATCTCTTATCGTTAATTAAGGACGATTGAAAACCGTTAAAGCCTAAGTGGTATTTGTTATTGGCAACCGAATGATTCCTTATGAATTCTGGTTACACATGCTATTTGTTTCACTTCACTATCAGAATAGAATCGTGCACGATCATTTCAACTCCTCTGGTGTCTCAATTTTTTGTGAGCTTTGTTTTATGGGATTTGGGAAAAATTGCCTGAAAAGTAAATGTGCACGTCGATTATTACTAACAAAATTGAAAGTCGCATTCAATTGGAAACTGTGCTAATGGGTTATATGAGGTCGAGGCGAGAAGGCGACGTGTGGCTGATATAAGTACCATTGATACAACGCAGACGATCCCACAGCGGACGAGGAGTGGCGGCGTGTGGCAGCGGCCGCAGCGGAGACTCAGCGTCTGCTGGCACCAGGCGGCGGCGTGGGAGGTGTGGGAGGCGTAGCGCTCAGGACACAGGCCCCGCTTGGCGCGCCACTCATCCTGTCACCGCGCATGTCGCAAGGCGCGCAGGCCGGCCTGCTCAACGGTTCAGGCGCACAGGCCGCCGCTGGTTTGCTGTCTCCCGGAGAGCCCGCGCACCAGCTCATCTACGCCTCTCCTTACGACTACGCCAACTACGCCGCGCTGACCGCCGCCGCCAACCCGCTGCTCACCACCGAGTACGCCGCCGCTGACCATACGGGTGGGTTGTTCGCCCGTTGATCTTTACGAACGATGTTTGATAACCACGGGTTACGCGTCATAGGGCAGTTAGAACATTTTGAGGACGGTTGCTATGCTGCTAGTAATTTGAAAGTCTGATGTAGCTAAAACGAAATTCACCATGTCGACTGAGACTACGTAATTAATAAACTTACTAAATAATAAATAACCCCTTTATTGTACCTGTTGCTGGACATAGGTTTGATCTCAAACTAAAAAATTCGAAAGCTGGACTTAAAAATAAAATAATTTTCGTTATCAAACATCGTTTATTACATACTAACGCTACATACACACGGTACCGGGTTTTAAATCGTCGATTAGTATCTACTCGTAGCAGACGGAAAATGAACGTTAGATAAAATTAGTATTAAAAACAAAATAATTATACAGTTCCACTACTGATCATGTAAGTATCGAACAAAATAACTGCATGTTAATACGTGGTCGGTGGGAAAAATGGACGTACAAAATAAATTAGCAATTCCATATACATAGATATTAGAAACATAAGGGTCAGTTTTAGCCAAAAACGGTCTTTGCCGGTAAGAAACCTTCTCAAGTCCCAATGTCCCAAATATCTTTTTGAGTATTCTAATGCTCTATCCGATGTCGCATGCCTTTCTTCTTTTGAGCTTCCATACAAGCTTGTTCCCAGCGACTTGGTTAAATAGGAGCGGATAATCTCCATGTAATGCTTCCTAGTTGGTCAATTCATGTGTTAGTAGCGACATCATTTATTTCACGAGGGACTTTTGAATTAGGAGTGTATACAGACGGCAACTTTAACATAGTATATTATAGCCGGTTTTAAGCGTCATAGGTAATGAGCAACCTTGCAGTACTAATAGTAACCAACCAAAGAGCTCGACCAGAATTTTAACTCCATTGTTTCTTGTCCATAGCACGTGATTTGACCGATTGCATCTGGAGCGTTATATGGAGGGATTATCCTGCTGCGCGATATTAGACTTTATAGCCCCGAAACAAAGTAAATGATACACAAAAATCGGTTAACGGTTACAGACGCTGCTAGATCACTAAAACAGCTATTTATTTAAATTAATATAACAAAAGAACCAATCAGGCTCGTGATTACACAGCACTAACAAACTAATGTACACTATTCTAACGTATGGTGTCGAGCTTTTGTTGAACTGTGTGTGATATAAATATTTTAATGGGGTTTGCAGCGTCGAGATATCTGCTAGCTGGCTTTTGACATTGGCCGCAACAGCCCACAATAAGATATGGCAGACTGCAAGCGCCGTATCGCACTACGCATCATTATTGCCGTCCTTGATATCATAATCCTCCTTCTAAACGCCTCACAGGACGTCCTCTTTACAGTCATAATAAAACGCCATGATCAATTTATAGTTTAAGAATTATTGTTTTAAGTACGTTTAGCTTAACGACTCATTATTTTGTACCTACGATGTTATCGTCTTTAATATTTACGAACATTGTTTTTTTTTTCTTCTACAGCTGTTTTGTACAGTTTCATACAAATTATAACTTTTGTTTTTACTTGACAGTCAAAGATATATTATTTATTATATAACAGAAATAATTTACTATTTATTCAAATTAATATAATGATGATTATTATCAAAGTATTTATTGAGAATATATTTTCTTTTATAGCAGTTGTTTCGTGTTAGGGTTGATGGCAGTTAATTATTGTTTTTAAATTAGATATACTTTAGTTGAATATAAACTGCCAATAGAACTCTATATAAGTTACCGATGTTTTATACAAAGACGTAGAGTTTTTATATATTTATTTACTGGTTTCGTTACACTTCACTCGAATGATGATAGATACGAATAGATCCCATCACTTAGTTCTTGTGATAACCCTTGCTTGTAACACAACTAATTTATTAACATTATGTTAATGTAGAATCAAACTCCATTGAATTTTGGACTAAGATATATCTTACTTTAAAGTATTATCATATATTTTAAAATTCCACCATATATGCATGTGGTTTTTTTCCATCTTTTGTCTATATTTCCAGTTAAATACTTGTGAATAACAAATTGAATTTTTCGTATTAACAATAGTACCTATATCTGAATGACGCAATGAGTTGAATAGTTAATTCAGCAATTACAAGCAAAAGGGACCAAATACAAATTGATTTACGAAAGGAACACATTTTACATATTTAACTATATTTTAACAAAACTGACAAAATTAATAACGCGATACACACTCACATACGAACAAAACGTGGAACATTCTAGGCGGTTTTAAATGTTTATATACGTTTAACGTGTAAGAATAACTTTGGCACCAGTATAGTGCACACTGTTATTGTTACAAATATTATATCGTAACTTATTAATTTATTAGCCATATTATTATATTTATAAACATACCATAGGCTAAGTATTATTATTATTATTATCTTTAAAAGATTTCTAGTTAGGTTAGAAAAGAGTGAGCTTTATGAAAATATTATACACCCGTATATTATTGTTTAGGTTTATTATATCGCAGTTAACACTGTAGTCAATTTTAATGAAAACATGAAATTATCGATGCCAGCCATTACCTGTACCTTGATCGGGCGTTCGTAGACCCGTTCGTTTAAATATTTTATTTTGTTATATTTTCCAAAGCAATAAAATAGATGATAGAGTATAGGTCTAAGCATAATAATAGACTTTAGTGTTACTGCCAAATGAAGATTTAATAATAAAATTATATCTTAGTATTACCGAACGACAATGACGAGTATTTGGCAGTGATATTTTGGTACTTGCGATCGTTAAGTGTAGAAAACGAAATCATTTTTTTCTATTTCTATTTTATCGATGAGATTAAATTCTTTGCAGCATTTAGATGTAAAACCACACCCAGTTCTATATAGTCTATCAGCTTTAAATGTATTTGTATTTCAAATTGGTTTTCCAGTGAATTTCTATAATCTTTAATAGCAAAGGTCTGGGTTCACCGACTCGGTGTTGGAAGCTTTTAATGTTGAGCTACGACGCAGATGTTAAATGTGTATATGCCGCTAGGTGTGGTGAGGAGGGCGCAACGGCTCGCGCAGGTCAGGGAGCACCCTTACCAGCGCACTGCCTTACCGGCGCCTTAATTCCCGCCAAAACGCTCTCACGCCGCCATTTTGTTCACAAGGTGAGAAGCGCGTGCGCGCGCATGCAGCTAGATGAATACGTTTGCTTGTGTCTTTTTGATGTCGTATCATTGATTGGAACTTGCGTTTTTATCGAATCTCACTTGAATGCATCTCAGTATACATGTTTGCAAGTTCTGATTTTCTTATAGATTATGTAAATTTAAATTTATTGTTTTTATCCTTCCGAGCAACCTTATTCGTCTCGAGTATGCGTGGGTACCTTTGCTTTACTGTCTCTCTGTGTCACTATTTATATTTATTATATTGTGTACTTATTAGTTACGTTCTTGAATAGTTTGTATGAGGATAAGACGCTTTATCGCTCTTCAAACCGGATCTGAGGTGACACTGCATAATTTGAAAACTGTGATTTTTATATTTCTTTTATAGATATTTAGATCTGTTACATGTTGTGATGCGAGGCATTATTAGAGCTCTATATTAATTCAAAGTTGAACATCAGCGTTACCAAATTATTTGTCTGTAGTTGTTTTCAATGCTGTTGTTGCAACAATTGAAATCACAACATGTCTACGGACAGTCGTAATATTTTCAGGTATAAATTATATATTGAGGGAAGAAGGATTGATGTTACATTATTCTTTTATTGCAAAATTTGACATAAGTAGTTCGCTTAGACAGTAGTGTTCAATATTGCCAAATGAATCCACGGAGGTGCTACAAGCCGGTTGTGAGGTCCTTCTTTCCTGAGTCTCGCCCAGTATTAGTCAAAGGAAAGAGCATTCTCAGAATTTGTGCCATCAATCCAGTATTAAACGTAATGCCCCTCCTTTGACTTGATATGTTTTTCATAATCATCACAACTTTCTATTAGTCAATATAAGATTTTTATATGAAATTTTTTAAGCTAGTTGTTTTTATTTTTGCCTTAGGTATTATTATATTTACTTTCTTATTTGAAAGTGGTTTATTATTAAGATAATTTGCACTTGTGTCCTTGTGGATTTAAAACCGGCATCCATTATGCCGGTTACGTATTTTCACGCTTCTTTATATGAAATGATTTAAGTCGAAATGCTATTCGTAATTTTATAAAATGAATGATAATATGCGATAATGTTTTGTAAAGTATTGTTTCCGTTGTTGATTGTAAATAAATGCATTTTCTGAGAATATACACGCAATAAATTGTCTGAAATTTAAATTAAGCGTTTTCTTTCTTTAGTCTCGTTAGGTCCGCGGTACTAAAGTTAAATGTTCTATGTGTTACAAGAGTATATATGTCGATAAAGTTGATGACGTGCAGTCATTTGGTCAATTGTAGCCTCACACAACTAACATGCAACTCCACAAGGCCAAGTTCCCGTTTGTTTACATAATAATAATTATTAAGTGCACTATCATAACTGCTATTGTCACAACTTGCAGATTATCTGTAACTATGTATTTATATTATATGAGTCACTAACATGCAAATATGTAATGACATTGATTCGTTATCACAAACTAATTAACAACTTTTATGAGAATGCCGCCATATACAGTATTGAGATGTTGCAGCAATGTGTTGAATAACTTACATACTTGCATCTGGGTGCTATGGTTATACATAAGTGATAAATTTATTATGCTTGTTTGTCTGAGCAATGCTCGTCACATGCGCCTGTGTGTCTCAAGCATTGCTCTTTTGGGAACTATTGGGCATTTAATCCTATATTTGTAGATTTATCATTTACATACTAAATTGACTTAACATTTTTCAACCATTAACTGCGTAAACTAATTAAGTACCCGTATAGTATTAACTGGGCCACAAACAGAACAAGTGTCGCGGCGCGAATGCCTGATAGCCTCCCCCTCATTTTTATTCAAATTTCTATTTTTATGAGAAATTCCGTACACTAGTCATGTCAATCCGAGACCACGATTTATCGCTTTTGTTGAATAGCTGCATGTTGCCGGTCCCGACTGTCGTGTCTATCTCATGTTGAGTCCATTGAGTCCACGTCTTACATTTGCCAGTCCCCTAACCCGTGACGTCAGCAGGTCGGCTCCGGCAGCGCAACGCAAGCGTTAAAGCGTGCCAGCTCGCGATTGGGGGTACTCGTGTAGTCGGACCATGACATTTTGATCGATACTAACATTCTGTTTTTCTCTCTTCTCGTTAACCCGGCTAGGTGAGTGCTAACGGCGCCGAGGAACTAACAGGAGTCGCGGCCGGCCGCTCCACGCCGGCCCCCTATGTCGCCGCGTAACATACTCATCGGAACATCGACCACCATGTAGCTATTAGCTGTTGGGCCTTTCACGTTTAACATTATACTATGTATTATAATAGTCTAACTATTAACATTTATATGCCTGTTATGTTTATAACATGATGAACTTTATTAACATTTTATATAATTTTTATGAAATGGCACACGCCATCGACTATATTTACTATATTGTATCTTATTGTACTTCTGTTGTCGCTTGAACGTGTTGTTGTTGAAGCACGAGTGTTGTTAGGTTACCCGGATGAATCACGGCGTTAAATGTGCTACCTATATATTTCATTGAATAGTTATTTATAGTTTTTTATTTAAAGTTATTTAAATAGAGTATATTTTTTAAAATTTGCACCTTTAGCGCCGTCCCTATAAAAAAGATGGTTTGAGTAAAATTTTTACTTCTAACGAAAGCTTAATTCATGCTGTAGCTAGAGTTAATTTGACACTGGAAATGACTTTTGCTAACACTTCTTGCTTTTTGATCTTCCCAGAAACTGTAAACATTTCTTCGTTAGCTTGCAACTAGTATGAATTAAGCTTTGTAAAACAACGTCATGATTTTTCAACTAAGTAACTATCCACCTAATGTTAGATGGAAAGTCTATCAAAGTTCTATGTATGTACCTTAATATGTAGTATATTATTATACTACGCACGCAATTTATATACGTACATACGTACACTGATCGTTTGGCGCTACATGGATAGTCTGTGGCGCGGCGCGAGAACAAGATGGCGTCATGCAAGAGGTCAAGTAAGTACCTACGATGCTAAAATATTTTAAAATTGCTTTTCATAAAAATAATTGGACTGACATTGGATTATAGTCTAATATAGGTTGTTTCTTCATATACTCATGGACCCAACAAACCTTTGGCAAACATTTTACATTACTTTAAAACCAAAGACTAAATAAATTATAGTAATATTTGACTACGTTCTCTGATCAAATTCAAAATTATTCAATGTCTTCCTTGAAAAATATAATGGTGTTATATTGGTCGATGAGTGTATGGATTCTCATACGGAATAATTAATATTTATAGCATTGTATTTTACTCTTAGTGCTTAATATTTATAGTTAACTTTGAATATGTGTACATCCCATGTGCCTTAATTAAATGTACAATGTTCTTACCTTTTTTGGTTCTATAGAAATTGTTATAATGCTAATTAATAGCTAAGTTAGAAGAGATTAAATTATTGTTAACTTTTCTAAATGTTAATTTTTATACATTTATCGTCGTCAGTTTTAAAATATTATTTGTATAAGAATATAAATAGTAATACCCAAATGTTTTAGTGTCTAGTAGATTTACGTTAGTTGTGGAACATTGTTAACGTTTATAAGTGCCTTCGTTACAATCTCTTCGGGAATCTCTAGATTCGTTCTATTTTATATAATTGTCAGAGATCTGCAGTATGTTAATACAGTGAAAAGTATATTACCCATTAATAATCTCAAAGATTACACAAATGTTCGCGTGTTATTGTAACAAGGGCAGTTTGTCATGCTTTGTTATGTGTTAGCTTACATAATGTAATGTAAAAGCAATATAATAACAATAACGGAACACGATTAGTGCAATAGAGATGTTATAATACTAAATAATATTTTATTATTAAAGTAATCTCGGCTTGATAAAGTTGGGAGAATATTTTTACAATATTATATAGAGATCTGATATTGAGATTAATGCGGTAGGTGAAACTATATTATCACGATTGTTATCTGTAAAGATACATATTTTCTTTAAAATTAAATTGTTTATAAGTTATTAGAGTAAAAGAGCTAATTAGTTGGTAATATTTTTATCGTTTTGCATTAAATTAGGTGCTTCGTCGAGAGTTTTGGGAAAAGAAATTTCTAAAATTATATGAAATAAATATTTTTTTGTTTCCAAAATAAATAAAATTATGTCGAATAACTACAAAAATATGTAGATAATCCTCGTAAATCTGTGAAAAATATCATCGAAGTTGTTAACACTCCGTCCATGATTATTTCATAAATAAAGTACTTAATTTTGTTGGTCTCCCCTCATGCATAGTTAAGTGCGATTAATTTGAGATGCCAATCCATTTGCATCGTGTGTTAACACTTGAAAATATTCATCTAGAAATATAAATTATCCACATTCATATAATTAGGGCAAAATTCATTTTATGTCTTGGTTACATCTCCCATAAAATCATCTCATATAATCGTACACGTAAATTTTGTTTTTATTTCCTCACCGTTAAGTCTAAAGTTGCTTGTTCATAATTTGAAGAACAATGGTTAAAATATTTTATTGTTATCCTTTCGAGATCATAGATGAATTACAGACATAAGGTTTATAGGTATGAAGCAGTTCTTCAAAACTGTTCATCCTTCATTATGCATCTATACATAGTTCGTACAAATCATACTAATACAAAAAAAGCATTTAAAGATATAATCATAAAATGCAAAATGCCATAACAACTCGAAGAATCCGTTTCATTTAAATGTGAAAATATGTGATGAAATAGATGTGTTTAACGTACAAATATTATAATTGTCTGCAAATAACTAGTAATACTGTGTTTCATAAGCAATAACATTAGTAATTTTGTTTCTTGAAACATGCTTAGTGCCATCAGCAGACGGGCTTTTACATGTAATGACATGTTTTTTTTATATTAATTTGTACTTATTGTTAAGGCAGATACTAATCGAGTGCCTTAAAAGAACTTGTACATATTTATTATTATCTTTCATTAAAGTATTAATATAGCGGAGAATAACAAAATCTAAAATTGTTTTCGAAAAACAATATAATATAGAAAATAAATCAGTTTAGTTAAGTGAGATTGTGCATATTATGTATGTTTTGATGTGTGTCTAAGATTGATTTGGTATTAGTAAATATTTAAAAAACGTAACGTTGTTGTTTTTTTTTTTCATTTTAGACTGTCTTACCCACTGAACGCATGCATGCATTTTATAATTGGGATGATGACAGGGTATGAAAATAAAAAATATAATTAGTCCGTAAGTTAGGTAATGAAAAAATATTAGACACTTATTTTTTTATTTTGTTATAGGTATAGTAAAACAACACTTAGATAAAACGAATCAAAGTTTAGGAGTGGGGGCTGATACGTCATTTCTACGTATAAAATGTACATAGAAGTGACGTCACGCGATATTTCAAATCAATTTAAGGTCGCAAGTATTCATTTCTTTAAGAAAATAAAAAATACGTGTCTAATGATTTAACATAATCTACCAGACGGACATTAAAGTAAAAATTAGGCATCTGCCCTATTGTCCGTGTTGAATATATTTTTTCTGCATATTTCTGACTTATAATTTGTGTTAAGTTATTACATCATCATCATAAACATCAGGAAGACGTCCACTGCTGGACAAAGGCATTTACCTATTATCCTGTTAAGTTATTTATCCCTACCTAATACTGACTTATGGGTTTCCTATCAACGATGGGTAACATTATGGAGACAGAAATTTCAGGAGCAAGTACTTACCTACTAACGAAATCAAGAACATACAGTAAACTAGTTTAAATCTGCATTTCCAATAAATAAACACTAGGTATATCTAAAAATAAAAATAGACAAAAATATGTCTGTCTAATATGACAAAAATTGTGCAAATGAAAAATGATTAAAGTACTTAACATTGTTTCAATTTTTACGTTTTCTTTTTTAATAATATCATGCATTATATCAAAAAGATAAGAAGCGGTATATCCCCAAGCGGTCATCGGTGACCGCTCTCCACTAACTATGTAAGTACATTATAGGCCTTATTTCCAATGTTTAGAGATTACTTTTGTAAGAACAAATTTAGGGGATGATTTTCAACAATTTTCAGTGTTGGATAGAGTAGGTAGCTATAATATGACATACCTGAAACCAGCGCCATCTAGTCGACCCTCTTAAAATTATTTTCATGACGTCACTTCGTAACACACTGGTAAACGAAGGGTAAGTTCCAAACCTTGCTTCTAGTACAAGCTTTCGGGTTAAATTGTAGATGGCACTAGTAATTTTAAATTAATATAGTTAGTTTTCATGGGTCTGATGAGATCGAGGTGGTTAATGGAGTATGTTATTTATGACATTGGGTTCGATTTCCTGATTGGATCAAATATTTACATATGATAATGGTAGGTAGGACTGCTTCGATCGAGTGGTCGCCAGAGTAACTACCGGGCAAGGGGTCTCGGGTTCGATTCCCGGGTCGGGCAAAATAACATAACATAACATCACGCCTTTTATCCCCGAAGGGGTAGGCAGAGGTGCACACAGAAGTATAACACCCACTTTTCACTATTTATGTTATGAGCCCCATGTAATAGGGGGTGAGCCTATTGTCATATACCGGGCACGATTCCAGACTCCGTGCTACTACTGAGAATTTTTAAAAACCCAGTAATACTTTGCCTGACCCGGGAATCGAACCCGAGACCTCTTGCCCGGTAGTTACTCTGGCGACCACTCGATCGAAGCAGTCCTACCTACCATTATCATATGTAAATATTTGATCCAATCAGGAAATTGAACCCAATGTCATAAATAACATACTCCTTACTGGGTTTTAAAAAAAAATAGTAGCACGCGTCTGGAATTGTGCCCGGTATATGACAATAGGTTCACTTCTATCACACTCATAACATAAATAGTAAAAAGTGAGTGTTATATTGTACAATAACCTTAAGTGCCGTAATGTGCAGCTCTGCCTATCCCATCGGGGATATAAGCTGTGATGGATGTTATGTGATAATGGTGTACTACTTACAAAGTGTTACAATGATTATTTTAATGTGACTGTCCTGTGGATCCGAGTTAAAAAGTCATATGAAATATCGCACTTTTCTACGAAAAATAAACATTAACTACTTCTGCAAGACAATATACAGTATTTATATAAACCAACCAACAATTTTGCCTAAAAATACTTTAAAAGCAGGTTCACTACATCTTTTCAATATCCACCGACCAACTTACATACATAGATATGTACCACACAGTTATATTTAACTGAAAGCAATTTGAACTTTTCGTAGTGTCTGGAAATGGAATTTTAAATTCGCAGTCCTGTCCATTCCCTGGGTGGCCGGGAATAAACGGCGTGCATTTTGTCCCGCTGCATTTTGCTTTCATGCTTTAGCAAGGACACAAACATCGTTGACGTACACTCGACTTGCTTTTGAACCTAATGGATACTTTTGAACGCGTAAATCTTTTAAATGGCGCGGATGTGTGGAACAGGTTTTGGGTATAGTGGAAAAGGTTCTACTGAATTTAACGGTGGGATTTGATAGTGCTTCAGAAGCTTGCTATTTGCTTCTTGAACGCAGAGCAGAGAGGTTTGAAAATTTTTGTACAATTATAATGAATTTCAGCAATGCTGTCGAAAGCATTTTTACATA